TGTCTGAGCATACTGTTGTTATTTTATCGTTATTTTATCTCTTCCACACGTTCTATAGCCTCCTACGATTACGTCATTTTTATATTTAGCAAAAACTTGTCATTTTGAAAAACGCTATTCTGTCAACCTAGGAGACAACATTTCGTTATTTATAAAAATTTGATGGTAAAACTTGCTTTTCAAAACAAAATGTTACTTTAACGTGACTGTCATTCTATGGACTTGTTGTAAGCATACACCACCATGATAATATTCTCGTAATAGGTAATTTTCCGTACAATTGCGAGATCTCGCGAGATACATGAAAGACGCGCGTCGAACATCTGTCGTAAAAATCGAACGATTTGATTTTAAACTCGAATTTCTTTAATATTGCTTCCGAATACCCTTACTTAATCGAAATTGCCTATCATCAAATGTGGACAGCACATTATTAAGCATGGAAATGACCCCCAAAATACTTTCGCGTTTGTCGAATCCCACGCGATGTTTGACGCCACTACGACGCTATGACCTTTGTTTGTCCTGTTTTTACGTTCTATTTCACGCATAACGCGTGATTCTCGCAGTGAACGGGAAATGGTCTATTGTGTATTAGTTACGCGTAAGGTGTGTGAGAGAGTCTAGACAACACAGAAAAAACAACGGGCGTACATAGGTAAATCGCCACGGAAGTGAAAGATATCACGCAATGTATGAATACAAATTCCTGAATTGAATACTATGCATTGACGTGACAATATCACAGATATTTCAAATTAAAAGAATTGCAACATTGCTTATAGTGAGCATTGTATAGCTTTGTATACGTGCGTGTGGCTTGTGAATTTTCAATCACAAACTCAGAAAAGAAATGTGTCATTGAACGGACACATTGTCAGGAAATATCCTTTCCCATTCATACATATAGCTTCACTTATTATGTTATAGAATTAATGTAAAATACAAACCACATGGATTGATATCTTTTAATTTGGAGCATAAACTAAAAACAAAAAATTGTGTTGGTTGATCTCGAATAATGACATACGTAACAGCGTATGTTAAGCACTGATAAATTAGTTTAAAATTAGTTTTTGTATACTATTCATACGAGTAATTCATACGCGTTTAACTGTATCGCACGAGGTCCGACAGACATGCAGCAGACGATGGAAGATTCCCGGCCAAACAGAAATGCGTGAAAAGTGCACAACGTTATATGCTATCCTGATGAATATTTATTATTCATGTCGTGATTATGTCACTAAGCAGTGAGGAAATATACTTTCGAGAACTGTTATTGGATATAAATGAATATACAACCAATCCCCTATCATTCGTGTATCACGGCGCTTTGAATCCCGGTACAATGTGGCCATTAACTCGCGTAAACATACTCGTAGAGATGCGGTAAATAAGAGTAAATTTTTAGGCATTTCATAAATTATTGGTCAACAATATATTTAATCGATAACATCAACAATAGTGGTGTCATCTCAATATTGCGGAGACCATATAGTAGCCAAACGAAATAAAAACTATAAAATTCTTCTTTAATTATTTTTTATTTTAGGCTTAATGCCGACGACTCCAACCTGTTTCATTTCTCTGTCATGATTTATATTTTCATGTATTTCGGTGAGGCCGCTTTTCGCGGTTATAGCGACATTCACTGGTGACCCCTGGATGATCCACACCTGCTCGTGAACTTGTCATGATCAGGTTCATTCGTATGTTAGGGAATTAGTGATTGGAACAACTGGCTGATATAATGGTCGACTATGGAAGTTGGTTAAGTCAACGACGCGCATATAAGTATGATAGTTATGTCCCGACATCCGGGGCAATTAATCTGACATTATGGCGTGTTGAGTACTTTGCGTGATTGGCTATATGTGTGAAGGCCACGCCTTATAGTCTTTTAACTTCTCTGTAATTGGCTAACAGTTGGAATGTGAATAAAACCGATCTCAGTTAGTTGTGGCAAGCTCTCGACGAGGCGCAGTCTTGAGGCGGCCGTGGGAGAGTAACCACGCGGCTGAGACCAAATGTGACACGATTCGATTCTCCGTGTGGTTTTGTTCGATAGAAAGGTGGAGAATTCCCCGAACTTGGTACCTCTGACGTGAATGTTTATTAACACTCAAATTAAGCTTTCACATCTCACATAAAACTCACATCTCTTTCTCAAACAAATTTAGAGTTCGGGAAGTTAGCCCGGTCATGTGATGTCAACAAATTCACAATAATGCTAATTAGACAAATTACATGTTGATTTGGGGTAATCAAAATATCACAGTTGAGGGCATTCTCAGGAATATCACATTAAATGAAACTGATTGTACTTATTTTATTGGGATTCTGATGAACAAACAGCTAAGATGAAAAAAAGCATATTGATGGGGCTTGGAAAAGGATATTTTTTATAGATTGAGATTATTTGTCTCCCAAAGCACACTAGTAATGTTTTACAATTCATTTATTTTACCACACATTACGTTTGGTCTGGAAGTATGGGGAAGCCTTTTTAAGTCCTATCTAAATGCAATATTTTTGATTCAGAAAAAACTAGTTCGTCTTTTATAATCCAGTAAATATGGTGCATATAGTACCCCTTTATTTAAAAAAAAAGACTTGACATCTATAAAGAGTTTGAATCCCAGGTTGGTATTTTTGTTTTTGATGCATTGCATGACAGACATCACAGTTTACAACTTAGTTGCCAGGAATACAACAATATTCATGTGATACCAGATCCAAAACATACAGCATTCTCCATCTACCAACATTTAGAAGTAGAATGAGCCAAACCTCTATCAAGTGCGTAGGCTAAAATATTTGGAATAATATTTCACGAGGCGTTAAAAAACACCACTCTAGATATACCTTTAAAACGAATATAAAAAATATCTTTATATTAGCACTTTATATTTATTTTTTTAGTTTTCATTAGCACTTTTAAATATTTTGTTTCTATACAGCTAATATTTCACAGCCTCTTGATAGTCATTAACAGTTTTTGTTTATTGTAATGTTGACATTGAAAACTGAGCTAGACTAGTTGTTTGACAACTATCTTTCAGTCTTCTTTTCATATCTATTCTTAATTTGTTATTTATCTTATACACATAAATATATTATTATTATTATATTATTATTATTATTACATGATTATGCATGTTTTGTTGGATTGCCTTTTTAGCTGAGTCGATGATTCAATACTCACAGTGTACATTACTTATGTGGTTAAGTAAAACTGGACTAAATTTATATAGTTTGATCTAGTTTCCCTTATGTTGATTTATAAATTGCAATTTGATATATATGTCTTGTTGGCATTATGTGTTGATTACCAGTGTAATATTTTTATTTTATTTACATTCACTCACTGCATTTTTAAAATAGATATCTTCCTTTTTTGTGTATGATGAGTAGTTGTATTCATACAATTTAAACATGTAAAACAAGCGGCAACATATTTGATAGTGAATATATGATAGTTATTTTTCTCAAAACATAATAACTCCATTCATACTGCGATTGTCAAAATCAAAACATTTCGACGTTGTTCGCCGAATGTTGCCACTGAAATTATGAGGCTTTATTCTATAAAACACTTGGTTAAACATTTAAGACTGGGTTAAAACACGTAAAACCCGGCGATGCATGTTCATACTAACGTAATTGGCCAAAAAACACGTAGCAACTAAAATTCACTTCGACATATACCAATTTGCATACATGCAAATTGAACATGAAATCACGTGTATTTCATGATCGTGATAAAATGTTGCGCAATGGTTGAATACACTATTTGAAAACATTAATGAAAAGTGAATCACTCAATGATCGAAGTATTTTGTAATAAATCAGTAAAAATAACAATGACGTTATTCTGCATAATAAAACAAAGCAGTCGTTTTAATCCCAAAATATAGTTTCTAACAAAGCACAATACAGCGCACAATATTACAAATAGTAGTATACAACTATTTTTTTATTTAGTTTAAATGTGTTTTAAATCAAACGATATGTATGTTTCAGCTTCCATAGTTTTTATGACTTTGTTAAGAAAAAACAATAAAGTTTGATTTGGTATTTGTGGAAATCATAACATGCTCAGGTGCAGGTGGCTATTAATTACAGCGCCCTGTCGTCATGGTAACACACGGTAATACAATTAAGAAATGCAGTGAATACATCATCATACAGCTATTTATAAAAAAAAAAGCCATGTAGTTTTTTCACAACATAATTCATCCAGAAACGATCTGTGCACACAAGTCGTAGCATGTTAACACAAGAACATAGTAGTAAGGTTATGCAACCCGCTACTTACATAATTAAAATAATTTAAATATTCACAATGTGTAATATAACATATTGATTATACAGATTTACGTTTTTGTTTACAAACAATATACAATGCAACTGGGAACACTGCGTCATTTATAAATGTATACATGATTACAATGTAATGTTGCATGTAATAATTCAATGTGCCTACTCTCAGTACCAGTATTGCATGTGCAAAAACACTGATAATAATGGTTCGCGGTAACCTGCATAGCATACTAGATACAAATAACTAGAAAATAAAACAGAATGACATTGCCTTCGCGTATCACTAGCAACAATAAATGAAAAGTCAGTATTTTAAAGATTGGACCTATATATCAGTTTGACTTATTGTCAGCGTATACATATGTATATAGCATTTGAAGATGTGATTGTAGAATATGTGTGAAATATTAAAAAAAAAAACGATATTGATATTTATAAAGCGTACCAGTATGTGTAGATTATCATTATTGACACTTGGTATCTCTTAATATAGAGAGTGTTCGCGCTTGTCAACAACATTCAAAAATGAGAACGTCTACCTATTTACAAAATAATTGTTTGTTTGTCTAGCGTTTGTTAACTGCAACTGTACTGTTTATAGTATGTAATTTTAAATAGCTTTCAAGTTCGGGAATTCCACCAGCTTGACGAGGCAGGCTTGAAAAGCAGAAATCTTAAGTATGAATGATAGGCGAATGAACGCTCGAGTTCAAGGGCAAATTGTAGGTAGTTGTGGTCAGATTTGTTGTGTTGTTACAAGTGGTCACAGATGTCATCATATACTCTTGTTGACTGTTATTGCCATTGTAACTTTCAAAGCATCCGAGCGTAGCTATAAACGCCCTCCTATATTGTTTATTCAATATGCCATAAACAATAGGATTTATTGAGGAATTCACCATCGGCAGCCACCGAACTAGTTCATTCCATCCCTGGGGCATGATGATTACACTGTTTGGATGTGTTGTGTTGTATAAGTAGCCGATGGCCAGATCTAAATGATACGGCAATAGGCAAACGAATAGCACACCCGCCGTCACCGCTAACATAACCACTATCTGCCGTTGCTGATGAAGCCTCTGTTTCAAATCGTGGGCGCTGACTGAATATTTCCGAGCACTTTTCTGCAGCTCTCTTGTCGTTAAAACATTAAGCAGAGTAATAATCATGACCACTAACACAAATGCAATTATCGGCGTCAAACTGTGTAATATGCCATCAAGAGGTGTCCAGACTCCAGAGAAACAATTGGAATATGACATCTGTGACGAAATTGTCTCGTTATTCGACGGCCATATAATACATGTAGTGTACCACTTAGTATAAAATTGGAAGATTGGAACAGAGAACACAATACCCATAATCCATGTAAGTATGATAAGTTTGTATGTTCGAGACTTGGAACTAATTCTATCAGCCTTAAACGGTTTACAAATTGCCATGTATCGTTCGAAGGTCACTAACACGATGTTAAACTCGGAGACGAAAAGACAAATATCTAGAGCAATGTTCACAATAAAACATCCAACCGGTCCTAGGAAACTTTTATCGTGTACGACATCAGTTGACAGTGGTTCACCGACTTGCACTATATAGTATAAACTTAGAAACATACAGTCTACGATGGCTTGGTTCGATAGATACATATTAGTCAATGTACGCATGGCTGACACTTTGAATACTACGTAGAGAAACAGACAGTTGAGTATGATACCAAACGGACATGTAATCGTAGCTGGAATGATACGGGTTAGCAATATATGCTCGGAATCGTAGAAAAGCTCTGGTGTACCTGGTGTTATGTAGATATCCGTGAGATTTTTCTTTCGCGCATCGATGACACACTGGTTCTGGTCGACGATATCAAAATACTCACTGCTGGTATTCATGGTGTTTATCCTATGATGACTCTACTGGTTATATATGGCCGATGCTACCTGGAGGCGATGATAACACAGAAGTGAGCAAATACATCAGATCGTAATTATATGGAAATGCGGGTGATATGACGCGATAAACTAGAACGAGAATGCAACATGTATACAACACTGATCGCTGAAGTAATATGAGAGCGGTACAATACAAATAGTGGAGAATGGGTCTGTTCAATCGGGCACCTACCAATACGGCGCCCTCTCACAACAGCTATCTGTGTTTTTTTATCTGCGTTTTAATTACATCCGAAATCAGCATGCGCATGACATGTTTATGGCTCCAATATATATTTTCACGTAGTTTTATTGCCAATAACTCGATTTGCGAACGCAATCCCCTTTTGTATCTTAGCAACAGCGTTTATGATATCGTCTTCAATGATACATGGAAGTGTTTTATTTCAAGGAGTTTTCTTCAGATGAAAACTGTTACACACTACTATGTACTCACAAGATCCGGTTTATTTACCAGCCCTCATTCAGTGCGCATTTGTGAAGGGCAACATACAAGTGCATTCAAAGAAATGTACGGCTTATCTATATATGTAACACGTGATTCAACCCGTGGTGGCGCTTTGATGGGTATAAACTTTACGGTCAGACTTCTCTGCGAATGAATTCCAAGGCGCAGTCGATACTAGTAACTTGTTTTAACGAAACGCGTTTCAAAGACTGAGAACATTGACCTCTTAATTGTTTATGTTCCACATTTTTTGGTACATGTTGTAGTGAAATACTACTAAAGTTCATCGATATAATACAAATTCTTATAAAGTAAGTTTATGTTTTGGTTTATATGGTACACTTTAGAAAAATATCTTTTAAACAATACAACTTGGATCAGTTTTTGAGTGTTTTCGTGTATATTTCACAAATATAACACTAGTGACAAGTAGCATTTGCGTTATTTTCCCTGTAATTTATTGTTTTACCAATTCGATTGAAATGATAAACGATCCTATTGGCCGATTGGCAACCCCATGAAACCTTATTATCGTACTTTACTTCGGCTGTACTCGAGGTCAATGTACGAAAATACACCATATACTGTTTGATGCGTTTGACTCAAACACCTGTAAGACACTGTCAGAGGCCTGTCGATTTATTGCGGATTGTCTTCAGCAACCAACCACACGGATAAATCAACAGTCCATGAGTTATAATTGTATCATTCGATGTTCAGTTTCTTAGATCTTCTGAATTCAAGAATCCATTAAATATTCGTAAAGCAGAATTTAATAATATATTTCTTTACCATCGTTAAAGACGTTGAGAAATTCAATCCCCGTATCAAATTTATTTCGCCTTCCGGACAGCGGCGAAACTCAAAGATATTACGATATGTCACGACAAAATCACAGTATGAGTGAACTATATCACATAAAGTTGTTGCCGACGGCTATGATCAGATCATATAATCTTTCCAGAAAATGACAATAATTTGTCGGATATCTTGCATCTCTAAGAACGTACATATAATTAATTATAATCAGCTCAAATTTGTAAAATGTTTATGTATGCTTATGAATCAGGTCGGATATTGATTGAAGCATATAATACAAAATTAATGTAATTGTTCGCTTGATATTAGTGTTGTTTTTAACATTTTATGGAAAGTAGTCGTAGCTGGTTTACATTTCATATCAGTTACCTCGAAATAAATACGTTATAACGTATGTATGTTACATAGCATAAATGTCAATTTAGCATTTACGAATTAGATGCCAATTCGCAACGAATTTTAAACTGATGTTTAAACATCAGAAATGTAATAATAACATTTCATCTATAACTCTTTCAGTTTGAAATTGCTATTCGCATGGCAACGTGACTTTCATCTTTATTGACATTTGACGAAGTTGTCGTTTTTTCAAGGGCTACCTCTCCTGTGAATTGTATATAAAAAAACATTTTCGTGTTAACCTTTTTTAACATAGTCAAACAAACAATGGTCCTTGGGGAGTTTACTACATCTTCAAAGTGAGTTACACAGTTTCATGCTCAGTCTCAACACAGCTTTCTAACGTTGAATATAATATTTACTATAGATAATGCAGTAACATTCATCTATATCGGTCAATTTGTTATGGAGTCAAAATATATTACCGTACCATTGGCCCGCATCCTTACTGATATTATGTCAAATATTCAAATAACTTAGCTCCATCGCATATAAGACATTTGTACTTATGTTAGAGGGGCTTAAAATACGAATACGTACAGTGTCAATAACATTGTCTTGTGTCTAGATAATCTAGCCAATATTATTCATCATGGTTCAAAGAATATAAATTAAATTATCACTATGTTGACTAAGCAAATAATAAGTTTGTAATTACAAATATGATTCTCCAAATATAGGGCTAACTACGCCACTAGTATCGAACGCCTACTATGTTAATCACGTCACATTCGAACAGCATGCTTAGAAACTTCACCAATTTAGTATAGCTTGTTCAATATAAGTACAATGAAAACTAAATCATACAATACACTGTGCGGGGACTAATTAATTTGTCAATCTGTTCAGCTGAATTGTGGTCTGCTGATACGTTGCTAGTTTTCTTGAGGTTAGCAAAACAAGAACTGGGGTAAAGAAGTAGTAGAAAACAGATATCAATCTAAACTGTACTGGATATGTATTTCCGACCGTCTCAGCACATCCTGTGTCTGTAACAGTTTTTCATCTTAAAAAAAAAATGGTATCCCCTACTGAAAAATTGCTACAGGTTAAATACTAAGATAAGTTTTTAAAATCGGCATCAAACTACTTTATCTATTAAACATAAATTTTCATACTGTTTTTATTCTTAATAATGAGGTAGTACTTGATTCTGCTTCTCAAACTTATATGAGGCAATGTACGTAACAGACAACGAACACGTGACAAGTTAATGACGTCACATTAGGACATTTCCCGTTGTTTACATTAGACACAAAATCAATATAGCATGTGTTTGTAATATAATTCGTAATTTAGACGTACGTGTGCCTAGATGTATATGTCGTTACATTGCTTCCTATGTCACAGTTGATAAAGGTAGATAACACCGTGTATAAAATAATTTTAAAATTCAAGAACACAAAAACAACGACTGGCAAATATTGAAAACACATCCAATTTAACAAAACATCACTAGTACTGCACTATATACTCAAATCAGTGTACTCTATAGTACACGTGAAGTGATGTCGAATAGAGTCATAATCAAATGAATTAAATCTGGTTGATTTCTACATGAGACAAGTGATAGTTATGCCAGCTAAGATCATCTTTGTAACACTGTAAATGTATCAGTAATTGCATATGTCGATAATTGCACTACACTGTACTAATCATTTAACATTGTGCCAGTAAAAACATTTTCAATCTCGTTCACATGCGCAGTATGTATATGCATATGTTCATACTTGCTGAAGAACAACGACCATAATTTAAAATTCTATTATTATTCCGGTGATACGTTAAACGAGTACAGGCATAGTAGTCATCAATTTGTGAGCAGCTTATTAATATCAACTAGTAATGCACTAATGTTGAGTGATGCGTCGCTTTTTTGTTTGTCCTCGCTGTATTCAACCATTCAAAAACATATGTGTGGTTTATCAATCGCCTCATATTTTGAAAATGTCCAGATTAAGCTGATGAAATAAAAACCATTCTCTTCAATAGGCAAATTCGTTTTGAAATAATTGTTTTGTGATGATTACTGTTGACTATATTACACGCACCATGGCTCTAAGCGCTAATTCTTGCAGGTTAATTTAATCTGTTTTGAAATCAATTAATAATGAGATCGACTATGAGCAGTGGTGATTGCATTTGTACGTGGATATACAGGTGTTCAATACAGAGAACGACAATCTGCGTTTTGATTTTGGTGTGAATACGTACTACTGTACTACCTCGCCTTGGATTTGTATGGCTTCGTTTGGAAGCGTCCGTCTATTTGCTCCTCTTTCATGGTTAGGAAAATCATTCACAGTTTAAAGTTTACAGTGAATATGTTTGCAATCGCATGGTGATTGTACATTAAAACAACAATTATCAACATTGGTATTTGTGTGTTTGGACATAACAACAACCAGCACGCTTCGCTATGATGAGGAAAACGTATACTAAGGCAAATATAAGACTTCTATTCGCTATCACAGGTATGGTTGTAAATATTACAATAGCACCTAATCTCAGAATATAGCTCCCAAGACAACACATCGTAAACGCTTGTTGACATATTGTTTCAATTATCTTCCTTGGCGGTGACACAAGGGACAGAGGGGCGGTCTCCCCCTCGAAAAAAAAATGTTGGGGGCGTCGCCAAATCAAAATCAAGCTAAAACCCTTTGTGTCAGCAATATGTGTCCCTCAAAATACAGGAAAGCGTTTCAGAGGTCTATATTTCGAAATTATTGTGGCTGAGTCTTAACCTTAAGCTGGATGATTCTCAGGCGGTGCAGTGTGGTACATTGATTATAACTACCTCCTTTTATAGTGTTATAATTTTTACATACTTAGACACATACGTAGTAGGTATCATAATAACATGACTTGAAAAAAAGATAATTGATAGTGGCTTGCAGTGCTACTGGCAAGGTATATGTTTTAACATACTGCAGATTTCACTAAAAACAAACACACACTTGTAGTGTCAATATATAACAAACTAACATATCCACATTGAAAACAATAAAGTTGACAATTGAAGATCCAATAAAATATTCTACAGTTTGCAGATGTATCATTTATGACAACTGTATTAGGAAGGTTCCACGACTGAATTACATTATGCAGCAATAGCGGTATTTATCGGAGTATATATATTTCACTTCCATAGATTTATTAAGCTGATGCGCAGGGTATATAAGTCTACTAAATATGTAAAAAGTTAAGAAACAAGGTTTTTGCATTCAGCTTAAATGTAAAAAAAGATATTAACAAGGCGTAGCGTTTGTTA